CGCCGTCTGATGCGTGAACTCCGTCTTGCAAGAAAAACCCGAAGTAGAGCATCCACCTTAGCGGGCTGCTAAAAATAAATTAATACATAAATCAGTAAATAAACAGACATGATATTAAACAGTGAAAACAAAGACAAATATATTTCAAACTTGCACGGTATTCACCCAAGTCATTATTATATCATTGTTCACAAAATGTATCAGATAACATTCCAGAAGTAAGAACTTATATAAACATTTAAAATGACAACATATAGGTTTAGTGCAGGTTCAATGACAACATAAAGAGTAGTAGTTTATTCTTGAAACTTAAATTTTCAACACTGTAAAGTTAGTATTTGTCTTTTGGTTGAAGTAATGCAATTCATTCAAGTTTCAATTTGCAGAAGAAGAATAGAATCTGAAACTTAAAATCGCAACGCGAAAATGACTATCGCAACACGAAAATGACTATCGCAATGCGAATTTGACTATCGAAACGAGAGAATCGCAATGCGGTTTTCATTTCGCATTGCGATTCTTTCGTTGCGATAGTCAAATTCGCATTGCGATAGTCATTTTCGCATTGCGATAGTCATTTTCGCGTTGTGATTTTGTTGTTGCGATTTTCATTTCGCATTGTGATTCTCTCGTTGCGATAGTCATTTTCGCGTTGCGATAGTCATTTTCGCGTTGCGATAGTCATTTTTGCATTGCGATAGTAAACTATTCTTCTTCTGCAAATTGAAACTTGAATGGATTGCATTACTTCAACCAAAAGACAAACCAAAAACAAATACTAACTTCATAGGGTTAAAGAATAAACAGTTAAACAATATTGGCAGCAACCGAATGAATTTACTAAGCAATCTAAGTGAAATTACGAGTAAATTTATCATCAAGTTAAATATGAAAAATATTAAACTTACCTCATTGCGTAGAGTATGAACCTCGTTCTACAACGATGCTACAATCTCACTTAGAGCTGCTACCTCACCACGTAAAGTAGACACCTCAACACCCCATGCACCATTGTCATCGCGTAAAGTACCGACCTCCTCACGCAAGGCATTAACCTCATTACGTAACTCCCCTAACTCATCCCGTGGAGGTGGAGGTGGAGAATAGGGAGATAAACGTCGTGACATCTTTGCCGGTCGCCTATCATGAGGTGATGGTGGAGAAGAGGCTCGATGATGTGACATAATAGGTGATGACTCTCGTTGTGGAGGTGTATATTCGGGTCGATCAGGTGATGGCTCTGGGTGAGGTGATGGCTCTCGAAGTGGTGGTTGCTCATCATCCGTGCCATAAAAAAAACGCTTACTAGCTTGCCACTAATCAGTGGCAAGCTCAGCTTCCGTGGGTGTCAGCCTCTGTAATGGAGTGTTGGCCTCCTAACAATATAAAAGCTCAAACAAAGTTAAACGTGTACTAGTAATAACTTGTTTATAAACATATGGTAGTATTTGTGTTAACTTACATTATTTATTGTAGTATACGGTAGTAAATCTTCCCATTGCTGCAGGACCATTTTCTCTTCCAGGAAATAGCCCTAGGAATATCATTAGAAGTTTTTAATGCATATGTCTGCATGGCGGGAAAGGCCTCAAATATCCAAATCTACAAACAATATAATAACAAACATTAGTAATTGTTAAAGAATTAATTATAATTTTGGAAACATTATATAAAAATTATTACCTTAAAGGCCCAAATAAAGCCTAACAAAGTGTATTTGGAACCATCGCCACGCAAACTTTTTTGATCATCAAAGGCAGACGACAACTTATTCCATGTAGCTTTCCATATATACGAACCCCACGGAAACAGGTTCCATGCATTTAGGTCATCTACCAATTTAATTAGATCATTAGGAATAGGTTGTCGGGCCTCTCTACCTAAAAAGCCGGCTTGCAAAAGTATTAGAAGGCATACTCGGACAACATCGATGTCATCCATCCGAGTAAAACCATATTTCTTATTCAATAATCTCGTCAAGTCTTCCACGTGTAAATTCGGCTTCTCCGTTGACAGCTTAGGAAAAACCCGGGAAAACCATGATAGGCGGATAATATGTCTAGTGTACCGATCTACATCATCGTGTCCAAAGCGTAGACCGGTGATTAAGCAAAACTCTTCCCGCCCAAAACACGTATACGCCGGTGGAAAATCAAATCATATCTCTTCATCACGACGTTGTATAGTCTCTGGTAGATCGCTAGTCATGGTTTGAAGAAACAGATGGGTCAACACAGCATCTCCACCCGGATGTTGTACTTTCAGCCATGGCCCGAAGCAAGTATCCTCAAATATTTTTCTTTGTGCATATGAAAGCTTCGACGCAATTATTTTGGCCATGCTTACTTTATTTCTTAAGGTCAATTGAGCCGAATAAAAGTTTTGCAAAAACAATAAACATACCAAGTTAGATATACCAAAAACTACACTGTGAAGATATAACAAGAACAATAAACATAAAGAGTAGTAGTTTATTCTTCAAACTTAAATTTGCAACACTGTGAATTTAGTATTTATCTTTGTTTTTTGGTTGAAGTAATGCAATTCATTCAAGTTTCAATTTGCAGAAGAAGAATAGTTTCTGAAACTTAAAATCGCAACACGAAAATGAAAATCGCAACACGAAAATGACTTTCGCAACGCGAATTTGACTATCGCAACGCAAGGATCGCAACGCGAAATGAAAATCGCAACACGAAAATGCCTATTGCAACGCGAATTTGACTATCGCAACGCAAGAATCGCAACGCGAAATGAAAATAGCAACGACAGAATCGCATTGCGATAGTTATTCGCAGTTTCAAATACTAAAATTGAAAGAAACTTGAATGGATTGCATTACTTCAACCAAAAGACAAAACAAAGACAAATACTAACTTTACAGGGTTAAAGACAAAACAGTTTAGCAGTATTGGCAGCAATTGAATGAATTTAATAAGCAATCTAAGTGAAATGGTTAATCTATTATTGAAAACACCAGTAAACTTATCATCAATTTCAATATGAAAAACCTAATAATAATACAAAAATTTCAAAATAAAAATAATTAAAAAAACTAACCCTCGGTGGTTGATTTGGTTGATTTTCCATTTCTGACCGTGAATGATTTCGCCGGAGATGGAGACTGATATCGTCGGAGATGGGGACTGATTTCGTCGGAGATGGGGACGGATGTCGTCTTAGAGAGTGAGAGATGGAGATGAGACTGAGTTGTGATTTAGGGTTTTAGGTTATGAGTTGCGATTACGGGATATACTGTGGACGGTTCAGTGTTCCGATATATTAATATATTCGTGTTTGGAATTTGAAAAAAAAATATGCGTTGCGATATGAATGGCGCTATGTAAATCGCATTGCGATAGTCAGATTCGCGTTGCGATTTATGTATTCGCATTGCGATTTACGTATTCGCATTGCGATTTACGTATTCGCATTGCGATTTACGTATTCGCATTGCGATTTACGTATTCGCATTGCGAATTAGGAAAATCGCAACGCGAATTTGGAAAATCGCAATGCGATAGTCAGAATCGCGTTGCGAATCTAGAAACTAATTTGCGATACCGGAAATCGCGTTGCGAATTATCGATCGCATTACGATTTAGTTGGTCATTTTGGCAAATCCAAAAAAAATTGGTTAAATCGTATATTATAAGGCATTTTTGGTCACTGAGGTTATTTTCTCTTTATAATTTTGGAATTCTGTTGCATTTTGTTATTTTTCCAGTAAAACTGCATTATTTCCTTTCTGTTTGGTTCTCTTAGGTTTATGTTGCTTTGCTATCATTTATCTTTTTGATTTAGTCTCCATACTTTAATTTTATACAATTTTGTTAACATCATTTGTAAGTTCAAATAGTGTAATACTATTAACTATTTTAGTTAAACTGTTGACTCAACTTCTTTCTTAAAAACACTCTCATTTCTAGGGATGGGCATGGGTCGGGTTGGGTCGGATTTTTGGTCCACTCGGCCCGAGAACAAGGGAGCCTCCACCCGAGACCCGACCCGAATATATGACTTAGAAACTCGTCCCGAAATAATAAAAAATTATTTTTATTCAATAAAACAGTTATTTAATTGAAAAAAAAGTTATATATAGAGGGGTATTATTGTAATTATTCTTAAATATATAAGATGAAATTATATTTTTTGGGTTGGGTCGGGTCGGGTATTTTTCACCCTAAAACTAAACTCGACCCGACCCCGAATTTTTTTTTTTAAATTTAACCTAATCGGGTCGGAACTCGTCGGGTTCGGATTGAGTGCCCATCCCTACTCATTTCGTCATGCTAATATGGTTTTATTAATGTTACATATTACATCATCTAAGAGAACGGTGGTTCAAGTACATTATCCTTCAATTTAGAAATTTGAAAAGTCTAAATAGTTTGAACATCGCATCAAATATGTGTAATGCCTATTGAGTTCAAACTTAAGAGAATACACTGTTAAAAAAGGATAATCCCAAAATCCTAAATAAGGATAAAAGATAGACATAGAAGATGAAAAGAAAATTATAATTTAAAGATCAAATATGTGACTAAAAGACATTCACCTGAACACTCCTTGACCTATCCTCTATATTTAATTCTTCATTCTCATATTTGTACTTTTAACTTTTGTATAAATAATCTAAATTAATTATAAAATAGTATCTGAATGGTAACATTGGTTTCCTCGCCGGTTCAAGAATCTTGACCCGTAAATAATAAACAATACTAATATTAAGGGTTAGGCTAAGCAGGATTTTAGCCATTTGCAGAAACTAATTTAATCTTAATTTGTTTGATTGACAGAATCATTATAATTTTGAGTGGATTGCATGTGGATTACAAGCTTCACTTTTTGTTGTTGTGGATTTTCTTTAGGATATAAAATGCTTCTTTTGATAATTCATTCTCACATGTAAATATCTTTTTTCATGCTTTAGTTTTTATTGTATTAACATATGATTTTATAAAATGTTGCAAAATATTTTTTTTTTTGGGTTTGTTGTGATGTTATGGAAACACGAGGTTTATGCTTTACCGTTTTCATTGTTTCTTCTTTTTGGAGTACTACGTGGACCGGAGCGGATATGGGAACGATCCTCTGTGTCTGGGCTGAGTGCATTTACGGGTAGAGCGGCCCCACAAAGGCCGGTGATAGTAACGTATAGTGGCGGTGGCGGTCGTCGTGTGGGTCCCACCTCCTCATCCTTCGCTGGACCTCACGCTGTGCATAGTTGCATCCAATCCAGAAGAAAGGGTCCCACAAAGAAACAACTAGAGTCTGGTAGTGACTAAAGCTAAGCTAAGCTAACGTTATTTTTCCTTCTTTCCTTCTGCAGATAAATATGAGTTATGAACGCTTTCTCTACGTGCAAGCCAATCACAATCATATATATACATATATAATTTATTTATCCTCTTTTATTATATTAAAAGGGGGGGGGGTGCCCTTGTTTTCTCTTCACTTTGTTTTGCACGATTTTGAGTTATTATAGAACACAAAATCATCTGTTTTCTTCTTCTTCTTCATCTGCTACAGCTTCTTTCTTGTCATATTTTTTTTTTGTTGCATGGATGGATCCTTCAAGCAGACAATATCAGGTATATATATTTGCACATATATGATCACAGTGTATATATATGTGTGCGTGATATGATGAAGGAAATATTTTTTTTCTCTTTTTTAAATGTTTAATGACTTTTCCTTTCACTGGTCTTTTCCTTTTTCTTATTTATTTTTTGTCGCTTGAATATTCAAAAGAGATGAGATCTTCAAGTATATTGATTGTGGTACTTTAATTTTATTTTCAAGTATTTAGTTTAATGGCTCTTCTACATATTTTCTAGAATAGGGTTAGGGTATGCCACCGGGATAATCGAAATTATTGATGAGACTCTAATTTTAATATTTGTAATCGGATTTTCAGGAGATGTCTAACCCTTCAATGGTAAACATGGTGGTTACCACTATAGGAAATGAACAACAAGAGAAGAGACCAAGGCCACAACCGGATCAAGCTCTCAAGTGTCCAAGATGTGATTCCACCAACACCAAGTTCTGTTATTACAACAACTATAGCCTGTCTCAGCCAAGGTACTTTTGCAAGTCATGTAGGAGATATTGGACCAAAGGTGGCACACTGCGGAACGTCCCGGTCGGTGGCGGCTGTCGGAAAAACCGAATATCGTCATCCAAGAGTACCCAAGATCAACCATTAACACCAAACACCACCCTCCCATCTTTGAGCTATAACACAAATGACTTCAGCTTAGCTTTTGCGAGGCTCCAAAATCAAGCCAATGTAAAGTTAGGATTTGATGCTAATGAACTTTCCATGCTTGGAAACCCTAATGGCCTCACCTTCATCGGGAACCAGAACGATTTTCAGGGCTTTTATAACTACGTGAGCTTGGGGGAGGTTGACAATGGCGGTGGAACCGTGGCCGGTGTTGGTAATGACATGATGACGGTGTTGCCGTATAACAGCAGCGACGATGACAATGCTGCAATAACGACGACATCGGACGCGATGGTCGCGAAAATGAAACAAGAGTTTTGTAATAACGGTGAACAAAATGAGGACCGGTCCGTATTATGGGGTCTTCCATGGAAACTCAGTGGTGACCATGGGAGTTATAACATGGCTGAGCTTGGCTCGGGAAGAGAAAACTGGGGTGGACTCAATTCATCTTGGCATGGACTCCTTAATAGCTCTCTAATGTATTAATGTAGAAAAAATAATTTTTAATATCAGTTGTACTCGATTCAAATTAATAGATCAATATTGATACTTTCCTTTTATTTTTCATTCCTTCTTCCGAGTGATTGATAAACTGATTATATTTGCACTGATTTTGGCATCATTTTTCAAGGTTTAATCTTACTAGATCTACTCAAGATATCATCTAGGTTTAAAATTGGCCCCCAAAGTTTAAAACATTCTAATTAAGTTCATAAACTACTAGTTTTACATCAATAAGATCTTTCGATTTGTCATTTAAAGTATTGGGTCCATTTAACTAATATGATATTGATACTTCAGGAATTCAACTGAAAATATTTAAAATAATTATTGTTTAAATCAATATCGAATTTTGCTCTATGCAGCTTTTCACAGTTTTCTTTTTGCGATTATAAAAAAGAATCTCTTTAAAAGTTATCATCGTTTTAAATCAGAATTGAAATTTCAAAATCCCAATAGTACATATATTAAAAAATCAATTAATAAAATGAATAATCAAATAGCTTTCGAGAACAATTTGTCTACGGTTTTAAATGGAGAATGAACGAGTCCAAACTTCAGGCCCAAAAATAATGAAATACAATAGCAATTAAGGTGTAAACAAGGCCAACATACCCTCAAATTGTTCGGGCTTCATTAAAAAATTGTCCAGTTTAGTTTGGTTATTATTTTAGAATTTTTTAATTCGAGTTCGAACCGAAGTTCAAGCATACATTACCGAGTAAGCATTTGATAATAAAAAATGTAAATTAAAATATATTGTAATAATAATTTCTTAATATATACATATATAAATATTATTGTAGTTATCCCTAAATATGTATAAGGAGAAAGGTATTATAAGGGATCAAATTTTTCTTAAAAAGAAAACCTGATTCTATAATGCGGAGTTCAGATATTGGCCATCCCTATACTGAAATAGTTGGAAAATTAATGTAATGCGATACGTGTGAAAAGTTTGAACCTAAAACAATTAGCTAAAACCAAGACTTTTCCCCAAAGATAATACACACATTCTTTTTCAATAGAAAGCGGTCAAGCTAAACCTAACTCAACTATGGGAATCAAGACTTTCTAGAGGGTTACACTTACACAATTATTGACCTTCGTGGCTACCAATATAATTTGAAATTGAATTGGATCGGATCGGATTAATTGAATAAACTTATATTTATGAGTAAGTGATTTAACTACTTCAATATGTTTAGACATTTATATCAAACGTTCTATTGAATTTCAATAATATGAAATATAAAAACTAATATAAGCCATTGATATACTCGTAATCAACATTTCTACAATCTTTTAAATAAAAATTGAAATTCAATTCATTTACTATAATTTCATCTTATTACCTAATGAGAAAGTTTGGCAATGTTAAACGATTCAAATTATCTTTACAAATTTTTTTTTTAAAAAATACAAGGATCAAATTCTAATAATTTTTTTTAAATGACCAATCTATCAATTATCATAAAATGGAATTATATATATTAATTGGGAAGTCCTGTTCAGAATTACAATGCAATAAAGATCATAAGTTGGTCGATTTTTTCTCATATGGAATGGTACATTATCTTTGACCTTGTACTTAAACTATTTAAATTTCAATAAGTCCAAGCCCAATAATTTAATATAATGCCCGTCACTAGGGGGTAAGACTTCTCAACTCTTACTCTTTTCCTTATTTCCTTATTTATATTAGGATTATTAAAAGATTTAAATTGGATAGATTCTAATCTGGTTCGGTCTATTTTATACAATTGATTTTCTTTTTCGAAATTTAGAATTGGTTCAACCAGGATGAAATTTTTGAAGGAGAAAATTAGGTTTGACGTAGAGTCGGATTTAAGGTAAAAAATTCATAATTCAAGATAATTTTTATAACTCTCCTCTCTATGTATTTAGCTATAAATATTATAATACTCGTATCTATATATATTAAAGATGATTTTTATCCAAAATTTAGAGAGGATGGAATGTCACAAAATGCTAGAGCGGGTAAGAATTGAGAGGAAGCCTTTAATTTTTGGGTCGGGTTAAAATAACAAAAAGAATAGTCATATTCTCTTGTGCCCATTCCTAATTCTAGTCGGTTCTTTAATTTTTTTTATATAATCATCTATATTCAAATCATCAAGAGGCTAATTTAGATCGAATAATGCAGAGATTCATTATGAAATGGTCTTTCCAATCCAATTCTTTAAATTTTTTATCCAATTTATATGACGAACCATAAGACCAATCAATTCCAAATTTAACCAATTAAATCGACTGCTCTGATTTTTACAACATTTAAAAGAAAAAAATATATGAATAAATTGAACCAGACTTGGTGGTATTCCCATAATATTGTATTTTTAGCTAACAGTAATTCAAAGATAAACTAGCGGGGAAGACTATTCCTACACTTCTAGATAATTGAACACATACCAACCTACTGTCTACCACGAGCTGAAAGCATTTCCATTATTTTAAACGATGAAAAATTAGACAAATTTGTTAATCCGTGTTGTGTTGTAAGACTTTGGGACATGTCATGAGGGTGACGCCATTGACATGTCCATGGAAATTTGTTCATTATTCCATTTATTTGGTGCCCATGTTTCTGCTGAAATTGCAACATTGAAGAAAAAAACATAAAGAATGGAGAATTTTGAGGTTGCATTTTTAAGCTGTCGTTTGTGTTTTCCAGTGCGTTTGCGAACGGTCTTGGGTGGGAAAACTCTAAACCTAGCTGCAATCAAATTATGACCATTGTTGCCCTAAAACCGTGTGGGTCTTCTATATACACCCAAGTCTATACCATATATATCTGTCCTATCACATATTCCAATATAAATATAAAAGTATAATACTCTACATATTCAATATATGCATATTCACGTAAAACTTTTTTTTACGTAAAATAATAAATAAAGAAGAGAAAATTTATTATGACCGACGTATAAAACACACTCTAAACATACTTAAAGCCTATATATACATAAGTAAGTGTATGCTATTTTTCTTTTCTTTTCTTTTCTTTTATTTAATTTTACTGAGAGGGTGTATTATGAATTTTTTAAATCGAGTAAAGTGAAATTTGGATTATAACTTTTTTAAAAAATACATACATTTTTTTAATAATCTCAGCCGACATGAAAATATCAAGTATGGATAATCAATTTTAATCTGAAAATTTTCATAGTTCAGGTTCCACTAGTTTTTGTTGGTCATTCACGAGGTCCATGCACCATTAATTTACACACATACATACAAATGTTGGTGGGCATTTCCATACCCTAGCCGTTTGATAATTGCTACATTTGGAAGCATGAGTCAGTGGTTCATATTAACTTTAGTTTTTGTTTATACAATTTCAAGACAGATTCTTTTAAAAATATAAAATCAATTCAGACATTCCTAATTCCTTCTAAAATAAACTTCAACATGAAATATGTTAAACTTTATATTCCAATGCATAGAAGTTTGTGGTAGAGTAGTTAGAAATTATTCCCTTGCCAATTTCACTTGCAAAGTTCCACTCCACTGCGGTCTCCATAAGAGTCTTTTCCGCGTGGACTTTAGGTCTACATATGATATAATCAACAAAGGCGAACTTATTTTAGTTATCGAAATATATATGGTTGATGTATTAAATTGTATATCATCAGTTTAAAATAGATATTATATATGGTTGATGTATCCAATTATATATTATTATAGAATCATATACGGTTGATGTATCAAATTATATATGATTAGGCTCTTATTTAAAATAAAAAAATTTAATTCTATTTTTGAGCCTGTGATAATCAAATTTATGTGAAATCTTTAAAAAGTTTGAATTTTATATTTGTGTGATAATAATAATAAAGGTGAAGATGTAATGTCATTGTCATTAGGTGGTTAAAATGATAGGGTATTGTCTTGAAGATGGCAGCACCAGAGCTAAGCCTAACCTATATCTTTCTTGGCTCCAATCTATTTTAAATTCATATCATTTTAAATCTAAATTACTTTAAAGTTTCGGTTTATATTTTATGATTTTTTTAATTGAGTCCTTATATATTTAACATTTGCTCTAATGGTTATGGGTAATAAATATAAATTAAAAATTAAACTTATTTATTTATCTGATTATTCATTCGATTATATATATATATATATATATATATATATTTTAAATAAATGTTTTAAAGGGTAAGAGAGACATAAAGAGGTTTGCTCAAGTAAGATAGAGATTGGCCCTCGAGTGCAAAGATAAAGGAGAGCTTGACTGCAAGATCCACCTATCGAACAAGAACGAAAGTCGACCTTAGTGATCCGACAATATCAAGTGAAAGAACTGTCGTTCAATGGATAAAAGTTACTCTAAAGATAACATGTTGATCTTCCCCAAGAGCTCATATCAAAATGAAGGTTTGGCACCTTGATGTCGGCTCTTCGTCGCTTAGAGCTATAGTATGTTTCAAGAGTTGAGTTTAGAACATCGTGTGATAATTTGATCCATATCCAATGTGGGTATTTCAATATTGAGAGGACATTTTTCTAGTACGTGAGGATCGGGAAATGTTTTACCAAATTAAATAGTTTAGATTATGATATATAACAACAATAATGTTACTGTTTTATAACATTTCTTTACCGATCATTCAAATCATCTAGCAGGAATTCAAATAGAAAAATTAGGTCATGGGTCGTGAGGTGTACAAAAAAGAAAGGTTTCAAACTAGAGGAAGTCATTCTTTACACGACAAAACAACTTAAGGAAGAAGGAAAGAAATGAAAAGGCATATGATAAAAACACCTTCACTGTAGAAAGCAGCCAGACCAGACACGAATCTGGAAACAATTTTGAACCAATGATATCATGTTTCATACTACAACATCCCACGATCACACTGTTTTCTATTTTGGCCTCAATTTTATTTGTTCTATAAATAATAACCCTCTCCTTGCAAAAAACAAACCCCATAGGTCATAGCTCTCTCTCATACAACACCAAATCTCCTTTGGCCTAAACCCCCATGTTCAAGATGGAACATAGTGAAACAACACCGGTCGGTACTCCGAATTCTTTGAACTCGTTGTCTCCTTCCCTCTCCCCTCCTCTGACTTCGAATCTTACATCTCCACCGGTCGTTATTAGTCCATGTGCTGCGTGCAAGATCTTGAGGCGAAGGTGCACTGATAAATGCGTGTTGGCACCTTATTTTCCTCCGACCGAACCGGCTAAGTTCACCATTGCTCACCGCGTGTTCGGTGCTAGCAACATAATCAAGTTCTTGCAGGTAGTTTAACTTGATCTCAAGACAATAGCATGTCTGAATTGTTCCCTGGGAGATTTCTCAGAGAAAAGGCTGCTTTTTTTAGTTAGGTGTGAAAATGGTAAAGGGTTAATTTAATAAGATATCCCTATATTATAACTTAAATTTTAAATTAGTCGTCAAACTTTGAAACGTCTTAATTAAGTTCCCCAGATATCATTGCCATATCAATCAATTCCTTTTATTTGTCTAACTAAATTGATTCATATAAATTTCAAGTTTAAATCTCAAATACATGTCATCTCTTTCTCAGGAACTTCCAGAGTTCCAAAGGGCCGATGCGGTAAGCAGCATGGTGTATGAAGCGAGCGCGAGAATTCGAGACCCAGTTTACGGCTGTGCGGGTGCGATTTGCCAGTTGCAGAAGCAAGTTAACGAGCTTCAAGCACAATTAGCCAAAGCTCAGGCCGAAGTGGTCAACTTGCAGTTTCAGCAAGCGAACCTCGTGGGGGCATTGCTTTGCATGGAGGTGGCACAATCTCCTCAGCTAAATCCCGAGCAATCAGTCGACGAGAACACTGTCATCGGCGGCCTGCAAAGCTTCCATAACAACCCCAACTTCATGGAAGACAATTTATGGGAGCCTCTTTGGACATGATTGATGCTCGTATGTATAAAGTAACCAATGGTTTCATTATGATCCCATGAAAAAAGTTATAGACGCTACAACTCTACTGAAATTTAGGGTTAAAAGCCTAATTTCAAAACCATAACAAATTTTAGGTCACCGACTATATTATGATTTACTTAAAGATTGATGTTTGATTGCTCCTTGTCAAATAAGCTAGCTTTTGACTGTCTCTTTCATTTAGTTTTTCACTATTACAGTGCTCTGCTATCTCTATGGTATACCAATTAAATACGAACAAGTGTCATGACTTACCAATCAATTCAATTCAATTTGAGTTTTTCAATCTTAACTGGTTTTAGTTCAATTCAATTTGAGGAGAGTTGATTTTTTTAGATCCATATAAAAAATTGTGACAAACTAAGATTATATTAAAATCTTTGAGGTCGGATAATATTTTTTTAGAGTCGGGATAGAGTAAATCAATGGTTTTTTCTAAACATTTCAAGATCAGATTGAAGTCGAGTTATGCTTCTACTAGGTCAAGTCGAAATCAAATCAAATCAAATTATGTTAAATTTAGGATTAGATTAAAGATCGAATAGAGAATCTAAAAATTCGGGTTGGAATCATAGTTGCAAAAAATCTAGCCCATAACGCCCGTTATCATCCCTAATTACAATTCTACTTCAAAAAGTATGGATAAGTAATTCAAGACCTAACACAATTGCTAGTGTTTTTAAGGATTTTTATTTGATTAATTTCAAGATTTTATTTCTGAGAATATATGTATTTTTTTAGTGATTCACTCAATCGTATGAAACATCATGAAAATTTTAAATAATATCAATATTAATAAAATTAATATTTAATTATTTCATAATTTATGGGAAACAGATACTATGATAAGGTGATAGCGTGACAAGAACGAAATTATCTTATCTGCTGTTTTGGGGCCTTGGGCTCACCTTTGTTAATTGGTAAAATTTCAGTTTTAACCCCCTTGGATTAAGTTTTGTAGTTATCTTTAACATCTTAATTTTCTTTTTAATTTTATCTCGGTCACCTAAAATAAATTTTCTGACTTCAGCTTTGATTATCACACAAGAAACATAAAACTAATTATATATATAAAAGTCGATTCAATAAAGTACTAATTTATAAAGTCATAATCAATTAAGATTAATGTCAATATGTTTTTTATAATTAATGATATTTAATTTATTAATCAACTAATTTGATAAGATTAGTACATGTGCATTGTTCCTCAAATTTATTCACAAGTTTTATTGTGTGAACATGATGAATGTAAGATTTTATATTAGGGGAGACAAATTTGTAAATTTAATTTTTTTTCTAAAAAACAAAAATATATTATCAATAAAATATATATATAAAAAAATTTAAAATATAAGATATTTTAAAAATTTAAAGAGGAACGATTACTCACATCCGTCCCCTTTTGTACATGCCTATGTGAAGTGATAGGTAATGAAGATCCCGTATTGCCATTGCATTTGGTCCTTGATAAGCTTAACAACGACAGCCACGTTGGACACATGGTTGGCACCCATTTCTTCCTATCTTTTATCTATTTTCATCCATCATTCTTTTAGAATTTTGATTCCTTTTTCCTTTCCCAATTTGTACAAGCTAAATCTTGATTGCTTTATATTATTAATTTTTTTTATGTTTTATTATAATTAGAGATAACGGCTTAATTTTTTATTTGATATGATTGAATTTTTTTTTACAATACAACTAATTAGACAAAAAATGTAAAATCTCTCGAGTCGACACGCATCTAACTTTTTGGGGCAGAACTCCCTGGGTATAACACAATATCAGTTTAGGGTTTTGGGTCTTCCTATAACTATAAACGTGTATATAGAATTTTTGCGTTTAAGTTGTGTTAAAGTGTTTTGTGAGATATTATGACCCATTTAAGTTTTGTTGTATGAACCCATCAAATAACTTTAATGGTTAAAATAAGTGTTGTTCTTTCTAGAGGTTCGGGGTTCAAGCAGCCGCGTCTATAGGTGTGGGCGTTGCTAATGGTTAATTTAAGTACATGTATTTAACACTTGTGTCTGATTCAAACGATGAAAGACGCTCAAGTCAGACACATATTCACATTAGACACATGCTAGTATCCAACAGGGGCATGCGTTTCGAAAGGTTTTCAAATGCAGCATTGGTTGTTGACAAAGATAATGCAGTATCAAAGCTTGAACTATGGTATTCCTCGATCCTAAACCATATATCGTAACTACAAGACACTGCTTTTGAGTCTTTTTTATCATCCATGTCACCCTAATATTAGTTCAACATCAAGACAATGCATATTCTAATGGTTTGGCTTTGAATAAATGGTTATAAAATAATCATTTGCGCATATTAGAGCATAAGATATTATGAGCAAAAGTTTAAAACTTCTGTATGCTATACCTGATCTGGCTTCTATTGTTTCAATCCCCAAAGTCATCCTCCATTGCATATAGAAGTTTCCGACAAGTCTGTCCGTCGACAAGATCTTTGTTTTGCAATTCTTTTAACAATCCCATGGCTTCCTCAACCCTTCCTCTTCTGCAGATCTCATCCAAGATCGTTCTGTATGTTATTAAATCAGCAGACTTGCGCATTTCAATCATATCTCTTAGATAACGCACTGCTTCCTCAACCTCTCCAGCAATGGCCAAAGCATTCACAAGGGAGTTATACGATTTACTGCTAGGAGTAAACCCGTTTTTCTTCATTTCATCGCACAACTCCCTAGCATTATTTGTTCTACCTTGCGCACATAACCCGTAAATCAAATAATCATAGGAATAAGCATTGGGCAGGCACTTGTAAACGACACCCATTTGGTGAAACACCCGTAGAGCATCATTGACATGAAGCGAAAGTACGTACCCTTTTATCATAGAATTCAACGAGAAAATGTCCGGTTCGATCCCATCATCGACCATTTGCCTGAACAAACACCTAATAGTCCCCATGTACACATGGTTTATATAAGAATCTCTTCCCCTACTCAACATCGCGGTGAAAAGAATGTTATATGTTCTAATAGACGGCCTGCAATCGAGTTTCCAATTGTTCCTCATATGCTTAAATATATTCACAGCTCTACTCAACTTCCTAGCTTCCGTAAAAAAGTAAATGATGGTATTATAAAGAGGCTCGGAACCGAATGAACGAATCGCAAGCACTTGGTTAACCACAACATCCATTTCTTCATACATTTTTGAAACACCGAGCTTCTTTATGGTAATATGATAAGTGGAAACTTCGTGCCGGAACCGAGGCTGCTGGGCAGCCCAATTGAATAACTCCCAACATACTAAAGGGTCTTGTTCTAGAGTTATGGCATTGAAAAGCTCTTCAGCAGTGAATCTAGGTGGGAGCTGTGAAATGGCATTATGAAATTTAGCTTGGTCAAGGACTGGTTTCTTCGCAGCTTTTAATCTCTTATTGGTTCTTCGTCTAAACGATCCAGACCGGGCTTTAGTCGAGTAAAAAGAACACGAAAACATGCTATGAAATTGGTGTGAAATTACAGAGAATGATGGGTCAATCTGGGTAAAGCCAAAGGGGCTTTGTTTAGGCAGATAACTACAAAAACCAGGGTAATAACAAAGATGGTGGAAAGGGTTCGTGTGGAAAGCAGTTCTCAAGCAATATCTACGAAGAGCAAGCATATTACTGTTCATCAAATGAAATTGCATCTGGAATTGAAGCACAAAAAAGATGATTTTCCGTTTGTTTCTCGGGAAATTGACATGGAATATAGAGACAAAGAGAGATGGATGTTGAGAATCTAACCTCAAAACATGTCGAAGCAGAGACAAAACAGTCGAAACTGAACAGTGAGCCGCGAAACTCAAAAGCTTCATTGGTGGAAGACTGAAAATTTCAGGCTATTTTCTGTTCAGTTCTCAGCTTCGACCAGATGGGCCTCAAGTAGTTAAAATCCTAATCCAGAATTTTATTTTGGGCTACATCAGTATGCAATTGTGCGAAGATTCTGAAAATCATATTTTAAATCGTAATTTTTTTTTTCAAGACAGGATATAAGAAAAATATTTTATTATTGGAATCTAATTGATTTCAGTTAAATGTTTAATATCATTAAACATTTTAAAAACTATTCGATGATTTAAGAATATAAAATAATAAATCTTTTTAAATAAAATTAAATATTTAAATATTTTTTTAATAAAAAAATAGTTTGCAATATCTAATTAATTTGATTCAAACATTATATTAAAATAAGATATTTGTATCTATCAATTTAGTTCAAACAAACCAACAAATTTGAAATTCTACAAAATAAATGGTGCATGAAGGTTGTGCTAATTGCAACTCGACAACTACTATTGCTAGGTGAAATGCTTGATTTTTCTGATGCTACAATCAAGAAGATAGCTAGCTCATCTGTGCATGACTTACTGCACAGACCTCTTGAACATGAAGTGGATGATGAAGGCAAGAAAGTTGTGATCGGAGATGGCATAAACCTGGGTGGCGACCGAGATTGGGCTAATGCATTGGCAAGGTTGGTGAGGAAGGTTCACTCTGCTGCTGATGAATTTGAAGAAGTTATTCTTAGGATTGTACAAGAGCTTGTAGGTCCTTGCAGGGAGAGAACCGCTGACTTTATAAAATGGATGCACTGTCTTACTGTTACTGGTCTTATGTTGGAAAATACAAAATCATTCCATGCAAAATCATTCCATGAACACAACAAATGTGAAACATTACTGTAGCTGGTGATAACATGGGCATGTGGCAGTTAAACTTCTCTCTTGCTATGCTGTGAATATTCTTTGCTTTTGTGTATAAGCTACAGGGTGGTCCCTTGTTTCTTTGTTGTGTTTTCGAAAACCAGACAATCGAAGTTATCAATATCCTGTTCCGAGTCCAGTCTATCGATAACGACAAAATGATTTAAAGTTTTAAGTTCTAACTATTCTAATACCATTAAATTGACAAACTAAAGGGTTATTAACATAGGGTTTATTAGGGAGGAAATACAAGAGAAATGATAATAATTTACACGAGCAGTTATGCTTCACCCATGCTCCACTACACTTTTGCGATGCTCCACCTGCCCATCTCGTGCCCATATCTTACACAAATCAAGGCAGAAAAAAATTAATAATTGAGGAGCACATAAAGGAAGTGGAGGGCAGCATATTATGAGGTGAAAAAATATTAAAAAATATTAAAAAACATTTAAGGGTTAATTCGGTTAATCAATCGATTTCGAATCGAATTAACCGTTAATCAAATATTCAAAAAATCAATAACCGTTAACTGATCGAACTAATTCGATAACCGATCGAATTAACCGAATTAATTCGATTCGGTCGGTTAATTCGAAAAAAATGAACAACCCTAGTTTAACGTTTTAAAAGAGAGGAAACAGAAGTTAAAAAATGTTTTAATAAACAAATATTTGTTGATAATTGTTATCTACACCAAACTTGACCCGACCCGGCACACAATCACCGATCATTATCAACGCGCTTACTGTTTTTCTCCAAACGCCCTCTCTCTAATTCACCTTCGAAAACCAATAAGAAAAACCTCCTTTTTACTATTCGATTTGCTGATTTTCCCCTATTCGATTTTGAAAAGAAGAAAACGAAACAGTCACCGGGATTCACAATTCAAATTATTGTCAGTGTAGGCATTTTTCAAATTTTCGATCAAACATTTCGAATTTGATTTCCCTTTCTTACTTCTTGTTGCCGCTACGGAGGTTTCTTCTTCGTCTTCGTGGTGGCTTGTCATTTTAACTGAAAGAAATCAAATTCAGATGAAGTTTTTTTAATTAACTTTTTTTTTTGTTTGTGGGGAGAAAAAAGGTCAACGTATAAAAAAAGTGGAGTCTTAGCTATGTTGGGTGAGAATCGTTGTGGGTTTAATGTTGAAAGTTGTTTCTTTCACTTGGCTGAATGGCATCCTTTGCAATAGCATAGCTGATTAGGGCATCAAGCCCCTTTTTATCTCTCGTTAAAATCAGGTAATTGGATTTGGTTTTCGCTTTAAATTATTTTAGGTTTTTGTTTCACTGTTTCGAATGCTAGCGAAAGCAAGAACCGTATAGAGCCTAAGTTGATAGCTAATCTCATATCTAATTCTTGATTTTTAATTCTTTTGAATGATTAAATTTAAAAAAAAAACTGAAATTACGTAAATTTAGTTTTTTGAATGAAACAATTATGCTTTTGTGTTACAATTTTGACATTTGTAATCAAATAATATATCACCTCACTTAGTATATGGATGTGTATAAGTTTATCATAATCTAAATTTTCCATGGGTAATTCTATGATAAGTCATAGGTTGTCCATTGACCTAATCTTATGCTCACTTTCCAGGCTTAAGGTTTTTTGTTCATCATTCCGAGACTTGGTAGCAGCAATTTACTACTTTCAATGTTTTGAGTGTTCAAATGTTTAGTAAGGGTGTTTCATTTGCTAGAGCAATGGGTTGTTGTGAGTGCTTTGGCTTCAGCTTCGGCTTCACAGCAAAGCCCAGAAAGATACCAAGGCCCAACTGTAGATCGAACTTTCAAATTTCCCAGGAGCTTCTGTTAGATGAAGAAATAGAAGAAGATGATGATTATTTATATGACACTAACAGCGAGGTTACCAACACTGTTCATGGAGATGAGGTTGAGTCTACGAGCCGTGCCAAGCATTCTGAAGAAATTTTGAGGTTCAAACTTGACAATGGCTTGATTTGCAGGCAGTTCCCTGTAAAGGAAACCAACAAAATTGTCCGGTCAGAGGTAAGTGTAGAAAAGAATTAGTATAGCTCCATTTAACTCTACTATTTTATGACATACGGTTTATCTCTACTGTTGGTGCTGCATAATCATTAGTACGCTACAATCTGTATCAACTTACAAATTCTATACATGCATGGAAGAGGCTGGTGACTTATCACTTTACACCAACAGTAGTGTTGTTTTGATGATGTGCTTTAGCATGTGTGATATATTTTGTGCTTCTAATTATGGAATTACACCAGTAATCTTCATTTCATTGTATTTTTGCCCCTTCTGCTAATTTATTTTTTATTCTTGACTTCATTTTCAGGATGACAATGGGAATAAGATGATTAATGAGTATGTGAGGGAATACAAGATTGGTTCTGGTAGCTATGGAAAAGTGGTAAGGATATCATTGTAAAACACCATGTTACATAATTTGCTTTAAGGATTCAAAACTTACCTATCCTGATTGCTTGCTTGGCAGGTTCTATATCGAAACAGTGTAGATGGGAAACACTATGCCATTAAGGTTAGTATATTGTTTCAATACGAAGTGTTCCCTTTGAGGGTAAAAATGGAAGTAACTACTCGGAATGAGTTTTTTAAGGCTATTTGATGCTGAATTTACGTGGTTACTTTCAGGCCCCACTTGGAATATTTTAAGGCAATTTAATGCTGAGTTTACTTGGTTACTTTCAGGCTCCACTTGGAGTTGCATTATTGTTTACTAGAAAACTAGAAACATTTAAATTAAAGAAACTTTTTATATTTTAATTATGTGCATATAGCTATAGGTTACATGATATTTGGTGTTTTCTGGATCTGTTACAATTTTATTCCTAATTATGGTTTCACCTTGTAATTATGAGTTTTTTTTTATATTTAAATCCCAGGCCTTTCATAAGTCTCAGTTGTCAAAGCTACGGGTTGGTCCTACAGAGACAGCAATGAGTGACGTTTTTCGCGAGGTATTGGCTTGCTATTATTTTTTCTCTCTGATATAATCACTCTTATATACGATGGATCAGACTCTGTAGTTAATTCAAAGCTCTGGAGAGCTCATGAACTGTGTCATTGGTTTATTCTTTTGTTCTTATTCTGATTTGGTTCACTTCTCATTTTTAAAGGTTTTTATCCTTCGCTAATTTTGCTTTAAATGAACTGGAAGTACCTCAGGTCTCCATCCCCTTTATTTCGGGGGGAAAAACACTGAAGTCTAACGAAAACTCAAATTATTGTTGGTTTAACGTCTTGGCACTTGTATTTTTTTCCATTCACAAAGATGAGGGAAAACAAGAGAGAATTTGTAATGCTATTTAGTTAATCTCTTTTAGGAAAGAGAGGTGTTGGAAGAATTTTAAGGAGTACTTTTTGTGGAAAGAGCTGCCTTAATTTCGACCTTTTAAATGAGTACTTTTTATTTTGGATCAGTGCCCATTTTTATCTGATCCATTTCCCTTGTAGGTTCTAATTATGAAAGTATTGGAACATCCCAATATAGTCAATCTCATTGAGGTGATGGATGACCCAAGCATGGATCAATTCTACATGGGTATATATATTAACTTTTCACCTAATGGTGTGTTTAAACAAGTTATTGAGTTACCCTCATTATTGCCTGTCCCATTCTCTTTATTCAGTTCTTGAGTATGTGGAAAGCAAATGGGTTTGCGATGATTCTGGACCTCCAGGAAGGCTTGGTGAAGATACTGCTAGGAAGTATGTGCGAGATATAGTATCTGGACTTATGTACCTCCATGATCACGTATGATTTAAGAACCAACTTTTGTGAGTGGTTTCAATTTTTTGCATATATTTTAGTTCTCTATCAGGGTGTGCTTTTTGTGTGATATGTCCAACTAAATACTTGGTTAGATAAAGGGATAAGGCAACTTTTAGTCTCTGAACTTGACAAGTTCCTCAACTTGGTCCATGAACTTTTTTTAGTCCATATTGGTCTCTAAACTTGGATTTTGGCTCTTTTTTAATCCTTCTAATGATGTGGCAGTCGGACTAAAATGGGAAAAGTTGTCAAGGACTAAAAGTTGCTTTATCCCTTAGATAAACATGATAAAGTTTACTCTGAACATATGTAGAGAAGA